TATTGAACCAAGTTTTATTCAGGTTTTAAATGAACAAATAAATTTTTTCTTATATTTTCAAAGCAAATAAATGAATTTAAACAATGAGCAAACACAAAAACATTTTGATTATTCTCAGGATCCTTAAAAGTGATGAAGAGTCACATCGTGATGTGTTTCGTTATAAAAACTGACACGATTAACGTTAAATTTGTTTGCATTATTTTCGCTACTTTTGTCAAAAATTAATATTTGATATCTATTTGTTTGTTTTTAGCACTATAGACAGAAGTTCGCATCCGGTGTTGAAAACCTATATTCCTGAACTGACTAGTGTTGATTCTTTCTTAGCTAACACATCTATTCCACTTAATAAGTTAACAGTCCATGGAAAAGAAGGAAACACACGTAACAATGTATTGTCAGTCTATCAAAGTACTACCCCAAACTGCTTCTTAAGGCTAAACATGCTTTAAAATTCTTCCTTTCAATTATGATGGGGGTTCACAGTAGAACGTGCAGTCTTATTAATTGAGCATATCAGCGTATAGCAGATGCATGATATATAAATCATTTTTCTATTAGCAGCCTATAATAATGTCATCGACACAGGTAATTATGAAACATGAATTACATTCTATAAGAAGTTGATAGAGGTAAGCCTTAGTTTTATACCGACTAAAATCTATCTTCTGTAGAACACCGTCAGGATGAAAGTTTCTTTAGTTGAAGAGGTTTATAAGGATTGTTTTTATAGGTGCCACCATCACGCTGCTCAATGTGTCGATTTTTTGAAACTCTTCGTTAAGATACGCAGCGCTTCGCCTTCGAGGCTACACGAGTGAGTTCGCAAACGACATAAGATACAGCATGTAAAGAAGTACGGGTGTCTTGACGTTTTATCGTATCATACTTCACAAGGGTATTTTTAAGGTACTAGTCGTGATCAATTGCGATTGACCCTAGCTTTATATCTGGTTTTATGCGTACAGTGAAAATCAACTTTAAAAAAACTTCGAAATGACTTAACATTGTGGCTTTGATTTTATTTAACTCATCTTTCTATCATCAACTTAATGTAATGTCATTGACTTAAGTTATTATGAAATATAAATTACGTCTTACAAGAGGTATATAAGTCTTAATTTCGTACCGACTAAAACCAGTCTTCTATAGAAAGCCATGAAGGTTAAAACGTTCGCGAACGTTGGAGATGCAAAATAACATGACGGTTATAGATTTCAGATTTAAAGTTAATTGTTATCCATTTGATTTTATACAACCCTAGGGATTTTTTAATTATTGTACTTGCCAAAGTATTGACTAACTAATATTCTAAGTTTTTCTTTAAGTTTTCCATGTGTAATTACAAATGTAGGTAATGCGCCTTTAAATTCATAAATTTCTAAATTTATAAATTTTTTCACGTTTTCTTTTATATTAATGTTATAGCTTCGACATTAACCCAGTTGGAAAGTTTGATCTGTGGATGTTATAGCATTCATTGTATGTAACGGTTAATTTTGATAATTAGACTGAGGTTATAAAATTTGTTTGATTAGATTTCGGATATCACAAGTAGTTTTAAAACAAATTGACTCATTTTTTGCACCTTGTAACAGTGGTTTTACTTTTTTTTGCTTTTCGTAATATATGGTACAAACACAACCCTGGAGAAGGTCGGGATGTTGGAAAGATGATTGCCGCTTAGCATGACATGATGACGTTTAGTTTGACAATAAAAAAAGCCACAACAAGGAAGAAAAACAAAGAAAGCGAGTTTCCGGACACGCAGAAAAAAAACTTGTAAAAATCAGTGGAATTAATGTTAGAAAAATTGTAGTAAAAGTGGATAATAAATCGACCATTTGAACATTGTGCTTCTTAAGAAGTTTATAAGAACAAGAAACTCATCCCTTTTTTTTAAACAAGAAAGTGTCTTTCTCAATTAATAAACCAAAGATTGTTATAAATATAGATGAGCACATGTACCTGTGTAAAGAAATGTTGTGTGTACACAATATGTACACAATTAAGCAAGGCAGAGATATGCAATTAAAGGAAAAGTGCCAATTAATTATAAACAACAATAAACGCTTCATTAATGTAGTTCAACAACATTTCTATCATCGAGATAAGAAACGACTTTTTCAAAACCGCATACTACACCAGGAGAAATAAAAGTGCTTCATTTGAGTTTTTGGCGGTGCCGCCATTTCCAATCATTGCTTAAGCGTAAATGATTTCGTCGCGAATTGCTCATGCTAAATGTTTGAGTTTACAAAACATCTAAAGAATACAACAGTAATACTAAGTTAGAGTCTTCGTTACGTCATCAAATACATTATTAATATCCTTAATATAAACGTCAACATTCGCATCAACGAGTGGTCAACATATAAGACTCTTCATCATATTTATTCTAATATATATATATATATATATATATATAATATATGATTTTTTTAGTACATAACATGATTTAAGTAATCATATACATACATAGTTATTTATTCCGTCCCCTCTTAATTAACGTAGAGATATTGTTTTGCAATCGGTAGAGATATTGTCTATTGATATTGTTTTTGCTATCGAAATTAATTTGAATCAAAACGAAAAGAAAAGAAAGAAAAATATATGTAAAAATGTGCTTCGTTCTGAGAGGCAAGTAGACCCAAACTCAGGATCTGCTAGTGTAAACCATGGGCCTAACCAGACCGTAGGTAGGATAGTGTATAGAATGGCCTCGAGCTTATGATCTGCTCGTTCGGTAAGTAGGTTGCGTCCGTCCGTTTATTCCTATAAGGGTAAAGCACGTGTATTTCTTTTAGATATAACCATCTGTGGAATGTCCGTTGGACAAAAATTTTAAATCCTCGTTTATCTGTCCAACTAACCATCTGATTAATGGCACGTTCGTCCGTCTCGTACAGCCTTCGATATTCTTAAGGTGATGCTTAACTGTGGGCTTAAAAACTCTAAAGTAAGTGGTCCGATATTGCAGACTTCATGAAATTTTTACTGTCCACGAACATGTTAAGGTGCCACTAATTTCCTGCCATGTTTTAGATCAATTACTTTATTAAGTCTTAGAACTTTATGTTGATTGTTTTCATCTGTATAGCCATCAGATTGCTTCCGGTATGCTTTTTGATAGTGTCGCTTTTTCACAAGCTTACCATTATGTCTTCGATCTCTATCATTCTGAGTACAATATGGTACACTTACTTTTATCATTGATTATAATATTTGTGAGAGGATGTACTAAAAAATTCTTTAACAAATCTCTTGGCTTCTATGCTTTTATCTTCCCAACTGTTTGACGCATCGCTATTTCATTGAAAATCAATTTACAAGAGCCTTACTTTTTGGGATTCAAAAAACCAACAACAAATTTTATAGCAAACTATTAACACGGTTTTCTAACCTCTGACGGAACCGCCTCGATGTTTTTTTTTCGCCATAAAAGGTTACATCATTGCTTCGTTTTTAAAATTAGTTTTCTCAATACTCCGAACGATATTTTTCGTTTTTATCAAATTTCCTTAATTGACATGACTCAACTGTGCCACAAAATAAGAGATCCACAAGCCCTGAAATGCTTATACGCAAACATCTGATTTGCTTTAATAGTTTCTAGTAATTAATATATCAGGATTAAGTTTAAAACGTTATTGTATTGTTGGTATTATTTTCAGAAGAGTGCATGTTGGACGACAACGCGCCACGTTCATTGATTGTTGTTTCCACTTGCCTTCTGCCTGCTTTTTTCGTGTAGATTATTTTTTATTTAGAATCGCACTTTAGTTTACATAGTTATAATGTTACACTTGATGTATGTACGTCATTAATATTTTAGCTTTCGAACTAATACACTAAGCAATTCAAAGAAAAAAGATTACTTTGTTAAAAGTATAAAAATATGCAAGGGAAAAAATAAAAAAAATAGTGTCTCTATATGAAGCATCGTATTAATAGTCTCCGATTTTATTAACTGCTGCGTATTTTCCAATTTATCTTCTGTTGACATATAGACTTTATCATAACCAGTAAAAACGTTCTTTGATAGCCTTCAAGTGCTTATATAATATTTTTGTCACAATTAAATATTCTGCAACGTATCGTTCCTTACTTCACATTTTTACCACTGGGAATGCGCTGTTACATTTACCTTCGCATTTCAACGACATAATTTTGCTTCGTTTCTCGAGATATTTACGTGGGCATACAGTGGCTTTGCCATACAAGTAGTTCACTTTAGTCCGGAGAAGAAAAAATTGAAAATAATCAAATAATAATTAAGGATTTAGTTAAATAGGCACAATAACAATATTTTTTATTATTAAAACCAACGTTTATACTCCCGATTTCCATATTACTATTACGTTGATAAGAGTGTTCAGAAAATTAGTTCCATTTTACTTTTCTGAATTGAGTTCTTTAATAATGGTTATGATTTTATTATGTTAAAATTAGGTAGACGTACAATATTTGTTCTTTCCGTTTCTAACTTCTTTTTATTATCTACGATTAAATTAGAACTTTTAATATATAATATAAACATGCAGAGTAGGATTTTGTTGTTGTTTTAGAAGGGTAGAATTAACCCTTTCAGTAAGGTGTAGTTGTGCAGTAGGCGGTTTGTTAAGCTTCTACGTAAATGTACTGTCCGTCCACTCTTATATTAGAATAGTAAGTCATTCTGATGTATGTGTGTGTGTCTCGGTTGGTATGAATGTATTTATGGACATATATTTGAATACATATATTTAATTAAATGTTTAAACATATTAGTAGTGTGTATTTACATTTGCATTTCTTATAACTTTCTTACTTTTCCTGTCTACCCATCGTTTTACAAAACTATTTATTTTTATATATTTGGCAATATAACTCACATAAGGTCATGCACACATAAACCGTGGATGTATATATACATATAAATATATATATATGTTGTATATGACACATACGTACATACATATATTTATATATATAATGTACATGATATATATAATGTATATGATATATAATGTATATGATATATATATCAAAATAAATGGAGAACGGGGTACCATTATGAGAGCAGTTTTTTATAGACTGTTTTTGTTCCGTACGGAGTCCGTCCATACAATATGAGATATTCGTTTACATGTGTGCATTAGTGACTTTAATGTTACTCATTTATTTTAAGTCCCAGCAGTTGGTTCTTGACGGATTTCGGATTTCAGTTTCACAAATTCCTTAGCAACTTCGTCATTGTTCCGTTGTGATAAAATCCGCAATATAGTCCAGCCAGTTTCATCCATTTGGATACGTCTTTGCAGGGGCAACCAGCAGGCTACAGATCCCTACAAACACGTCAAGATGCATAGTATGTATGTATTCAATATTTAGGAACGCTTATTGTATATTTTATTACTATTATCATCATTATTAGTATAAATAATGAATTATAACTTATGAAATGATTTCTTAGAATGAAACAAAAAAGTGCGGCATTAGCAACGTAGGTGATTATTTTAATAAAGGAAAAGTTTAGGGAGTCACAGCAACCAGGTGGTTTATTATAAAAATTAGTCCATACTTGTAGATTGGAAAAGAAGATGACTGAAATTCCTGTTGGCGAGCTCGGATTCTCGCAAATTTTCGATCTTCATTTTGATGACATTTGGTGAAAGGAGGAACTAAGCGATGGTTAATAAAGGGTTAGTGCTGATGATGCTATTATAGATTTGCTTTCCCACTTTTCTGGCTAACTTTCCTTCTAATGTATGTTTGGAGGCCCGTTTACACAGTATCGCCCATAGTTAGAAGTGCAGAAGCACCACGCTTCGCCGATCAATCAAATTGCTTATTTCCCAGTAAACCGACCAGGTAACCAATGCGTTTTAACCTTATCACCAGGCGTTGTGATGATAATCCCTAACGACGCTCCAACTGCAAGTCGAGGAATTCGGGATAATTTTTAACGCCGGCTAACAGTGATAATAACAGTGTTTTGGTTTTTACAAGCAACGTTCATATCTTAAAGGATAACTCTGGCTGACTTTAGTCGTGAAACTTGAACCACAGTCATCGAATATGTGATCAAGCAGAACTTGTCGTGAAGCATCTCGTACGGTGTAGGCAGGTGACAGACCGTCAGATGACTTGATGGTAGACCGTGCCGTTTATATTAGATTTGCGGCTGTTGCCATAAATTATTCGATCATGATCAATCTTATTGAAAAGAAACATTTTGGTAAGGTAAGAAATGGTTTTAACGTGCGCACGGCCTTTGCAAGCTATGCATTATTTGAAGTTCACCCTAGTTGAAGTAGAATGCTTTGACCGGAAACAGTGCGCTTTCCAACTATATTTTTTGGAAAACAAGAGTTCGATAATGTTGAGTGTTTGCAACTTTTGCGTTGGTAAATTATTAATCAGCATTAACCAATTTTTGGTATCATGTTGAATTTTATAAAGACGCCAACACTTGTTTTCATTATTAATTTTGAATAGGTTTCGGTACACGACTTGGATGGTATTGGATTAGAAGAACTCCTGCAGTGAGCCTCTTGAAGATATATAATACTAAGGTTTAAATCACATATAAGCATATGGAGTTCATTCAAGTTATTAATAAAACCTTTGGCGTTCCATTGTAGAATAAATGTGAATAAAATACAAATAATTTTTTACAAATTATGTACATAATAAATACATTTACTAATAAATTTTTTCATAGGTTTTTTCTTTAAATTTAAACTTATGTTTGGAAGCCCGAGGAAAAGGCGCTTTTCTCTTGTAGTGACAAGGAAAATCCCAAATGCTATAAAAATCCTTTCCGAAAAATTGGTAACACACATTTCACAAAAATAAAACGCGCACTGACGATCTTCGCAATGATGGTCCGGTTGCCCTATGAGAAGTAGTATTCACACCTACTGGTCTATAAAACTGTTTAAACCACTAAGAAAGGAGACATTTCCGTCCAGCTTATTATCTTAATACGATGTGTTTACGATGAAGTACCTTCTTTTGTTTATATGCCAACGATGTCAACGCTGTAAGTTAAACAATACAGACAGAAACAAATCAGACAGAAAATTAGAAGGAAATACAGAGCTATTTCTGATTAAAATTACATTTAAAAGAACGTAACATAACGATGAAAGGTAATAAGTTTTTGGAATAATTAAGGGGATATTATTAGTATTTTGGAAGTCGAAGATAAGATGTTAAGGCTAATCCTCTATATTACTTGCTTCATTTGTGTCATTAGATGTGGCACTATACTGCATTGGCATGATTTCGGTAAAGTCGACCTCGTTGAAAAAGTACTTACAGTTTATTTTTGCTGATAATAAACATTTTGGGGCAATCTCTCACTGCGTTCCTTTTCGTCTTCGCAACGAGCACAACCAATCAAACGTTATTGTAGACTGGAAAATAATTCATTGAATTCGAACGATTAGTTATCGTTGTTATCTTTAATAAACTCCTTCGTATCACAATACTTTCCTCTTCTTCTTCTTTTTTTCTGTTTCGGATTCTATGTTGTTGTTTGAGTTCTTAATAGAATCCTGTTTGCAACTGAGAAACGATGTTGTGACCGGACTGGTTGCGGAAGTATGCTGGAACAGATTTTATAGACTTGGTTGCTGGGCCAACACATATATATGCTTAATATACCATGTGTGAATCTAAGTCGATTTCTAGATCTGAGGTGGGGCGAGGGTTAAGTTCTTGTCAACATTTATTGTATAGTAGTTTGGGATATAATTTGCATCCGTGTACTTATAAGTGGTTTCGCATGCAACAGGTACAGCCGCGAACTTTCTTCACAAAAATTTGGCAATGCATTCATTTCTTCCACATTTAAATATGTTCCACATGATGAAATCATATATCCGCCAAAAGGATAAAAAATTATATTTAATTGCTTTGCCCTCCTAGTCAATGTCAGCACTGCTTGTTATGTTAGGATAAAATTACACTTGTCCTCCCAGTTTCTGCAGTGTTCGAGATCTATTCAGATATGGCAGAGAAAAAATATTTTTTCGAAAACGGTATCGCGTTAATACGCTGTCGTTGTATTTTTGGTCAACGCGTTTCTTATCACTCCCTAAACTTTTTCCTTTTTCTATTAACCTTTCTTATTTCAAGATGGCTTTTTTCATTAATTCTATGCAAGATTTTCTTAAGGCGAAAGCAAAATAACATGGTTCTTTGAGAGCTTAAAACAAATAAACCACTTTAATTAGTTTTATTTCAAGCATACCTTTTCTAGAATATCCTTAAGAGGTATAACTGCTACACCGACTAAACGGTCATCACGGGCAAAACAGTAATCTTTGACACAAATATGTAATTCAAAGAAATCTAATTGCTCCTCTGTGCCAATAGTGCTTCAAAAGAAAGAAAGACAAAACGAGAAAGAAGATAAAAAGAAATATCACAAGAAATCATACTTACAAATTAAATGATTCGTTGTATTTCGGAGACCAATTATTTGATTTTGATTTTGTTGCAAACTTCCGTTTTTTGTCTTGCAAATGCGGCCCAATCAAATTAATTTCCACAAAAGGGCGAAACATGCCGGATGGTATTTGCCATTTCAAGTCATTTGCGGCCACAACTAGAATTATGCGTATATTACAACAGTAACATTGTAAGGATAAAGAAGTTTCAATGTTACATTCGGCCAAGGTTGACCAAGGAATAACTCACACCATTTCGTCTAATACAATACTTCACCTCTTTTCGTCACAAACCACCGAAAACTATAGCTCCTAGAAAGCTCCTATAGCTCCTAGAAAGGTTTATGTTCCATGGCTGGGATGAGGTCCGACAAATAGGCCTATGCGATTCACACTTAACACAGTAAATTTTTGCTGAAATGTCTATTTTAGACGAACTTCTATCATACAATACTAAAAACAAAACCTTGGCAAACAAAGACTTTTTTTGTAAGAACGCTCAAATGGGAGGAGATCCGTGAGGTCTTTGAGTTTGTTTTCTATGATATAAAAGATACGTTGCACTATGTGCTGTAATATATTACAAATGCCACATGGCTTAGTCGCTATCAGGCTTTAAAATTAAAATAAAATATATTGGAAGCAATGAATATACACGGCTAGAAGTCTTCAGTTCAAAAGTTTCCCTAACTTTTTACTAGATTTCGCCGGCTTTGGCGACTTTAATATTATCCAAAACGATATGGTGCAAGGCAAGCAAAGCGAGCAAAAAATTTTTGTGAGTAGGGTCGAAACCGCGTATAGTTTGGAACAAATAAGGAAACACCTTTTATATCTTACAGCACTATAAAAATGGTATGCGCAAATTGAGTATAAAAATATCGTAACACAGTTTACAGACTAATAAACCATATTTGAACTATTGTTATAACAAAATACATGCACAGATATTTAATAATTGTGTCTTAATCGCGCTCCATATAAAATTCGAATAAAGGACTTGAGAGAAACGCTAAGAAATTCATAGGGGTTCCCTAGTTTCAAAATAAGAATAATTCAAAGTAATTTGAAAAAATTGGTTTTTCTTGATTAAAAAAGCAAAATAAATAAATATAAAAAACTGAATTCATTAAATATGTAACTAATGTACTTGTTTTCGTCTCAATATTTTTTATGTTCCCAAAGATTGTCTTTTTTCCTTGCTCTTTTTATTATAACACATGCTTTTTGTTAACGATTGACATAATTATTTCAGTTGTATTTTGAATTTTATAAAAGTGCGACAAATATCTTACTTCTGCCACACATGAACAATAGCTTATTTTGGTACAGTGTTCGCAATAAAAAAGTGAAATAATTATTAAACAGGCATTTCTAAGGAATAAGTACCACTAATTAAACAGCTGTGAATACATTTGACTTAGATAGAGACGGTTTACTATTGTCGTTATCAGGCTATTGTACTAATGAAAAACTAAAATACGATCGCATTTTGGGTTAATTGCGCTCAAACGTTTTCGCATCGAGTTTGTCTTCTCGTTTATTGCATATGGAAAGGAATATTTGTGATATTATTGGCGTGTATAACAAATTAATGCAAAGAAAAACAAGAAAGGTTTATATACCAAACCAAATATAAATTTAGGAAAAGATAGTGAAAATATTAAAATCAATTAAAAAAAAAAAAAAGAAGAAAAGAAAGTGTAGTGAATAAGATATAAATAAACTGAAGCAAATGTATTTAATAGTTTAACATCAATATAAATCAGTAATTTAATTTCAAGTTGCAGAACAAATGGACTTCTTTATATAATTCCGATTGTTACCTACAAATCTGCCCAGAGAAGCACCTGCGGATGAAAGTCTTGTGAACATCCAAAGGAGAGTGTTGAGGGATAAGAATAACCGTTTTTCCTTGCCACGGAGAAAATAAGTTTCTACGGGGTTGCGATTCAATATATTCCTGACACAAAAAATGTACTTTTTAGGTTTATCCAACGCTTTCGATTGAGTAAGGTAGAATTTGTGTATTTTCATTGCAGAATAGATTTTGAGAGGCACAAGTTCATTGCTGTTTCCTCCATTTTGCAATCTTGTGCCGCTTTATTGCATCTGAGATGTGGCAGTTTTTTGCTTATTGTTGGGAACGATTTTCTTATTAGGCTGTCCAAGAGTGTAGTGTGGAACATTTCAAGTAGACCACTTAGTTAAATCAGAGAAAAAATATGTGGACGTGTTATACGGTTCAAAAGAGACGGCTTGGGATGTAAAAAGTGCTCATTAAGAAGTATGAAATTCCACGAGGTAAGCGTGTAATCTTTCTTTGAAAATGAGTATATGTATTTTAATTGGAAAGGATTTCATAGCCAAAACGTTATTGTGATAAATATTTAATCGGATTATTAGCGTACATAAATAAAGAAATATTGTTCTTTTCTTTGTGATCATAAGTGCCGAATTATTGCAATCAAGGCTCAAGGCTTCTAGTTCATGAAAATATATTGTTATGAAAAAATCAATCCATCATGTCGTGACGTCTACTATAATTAATTTAAAATTAATTAGCTTGTCGTAACTTGAATTCTACTCTCCATGTCCTTTTATTTGATACCCATTTCGACGGTATTGCGATGAAAAGATTAGTCCACTAAGTCGTGTGTGGTATAACCGAATTTTTCCGCTTTTCCACATAAATAGTAATTTTCTGTAAAGTAAATGCAGAAAATTTCTGGCTGCTATCTTTTCTTAATTTGTGGATAATAAGCAAATATACACAAATTTTTGCTGTACGCTCTGTTTCTACTAAATTTGAAGTCGATATCTTAGTTTTTGCAATCTGGAGAGTATCAACAACGTAGACCACACACAAAGACAGACAGATAGGACACTTTGTAGGGTCTTTAAGTGTCCTTTTGAAAATATTATAACAAAATGAATATATCTCTATCCTTCGTTGATGGACATAACAATTGGACTTTCAGCACGAAGGTGTGAGTGCTATTTTCCACAACATTTGTGTAAATATGAAGTTCCTCACATGGCATTAGTCATGATATTGTGCAAAGTAGTCTAACAAAAATATGCGTCCAAAACCTTCTCAACAACTTTATAAAGATTGGTGGAAAAATTAGAAATCATATAAAGCAAAGCTGGATAAGTTGTATCTCTTTTGATATTTTGCCTTCGAACTAATGTATGATATTCTACGTATGATATTATTCAAACATTCATACATTATGACGTACCATCAACCCAAGCTGCAAGTTCGATATCGAGTTTACTCGATGACAAGAGAAGTAAACCCATTCTTGATTTTTAAGCATATACCGCAAAAACAAATAGTATGACCTGATAACGTCAACCAGTACGACCTCGGCGATTGTAAGTCATAAGTAGGTGCTTTACTGCAATAAATATCGGAAATTGAAAACAGAAGATATTAAGTGTCCAACTGAAAATCAGAGTTGAATTGAAGTTCAGAAATCCTCAATTGCAGTCATATTTACTGATCGCAAATTCTAGCTGTTAATTGACAAGGTCATATTTAGGAGTTTTCAATTTCAGCTGACGATTTCTCATTTTCTACCGATAATTCTGTTACCAATTGTTAATAGCACGCTTTTAATTGACTGCTCTGATTTACAAGGAAAGATTGTATAATTGTATAATTACAGCTGATAGTGCTATAAATATTCTTAGGTTTTTTGAGTCTTGATTTCAATTCAAAGAAAAACGGACATTATTATGCCAAGTCACCATATGTATATTGTAAAGGATGTTTAATGCGTTACAATCAGTTGATTTATCTTGACATTGAAAATAAATAAATAGGGAAATAAACAATTGCAGTAACAATTGCAGCACATTTTATTTACCTTTAACGTTAACCCTATATTCGCCTGTGCCAGGATGGGAATATAAATCAATTTGCACCGATATTTCTCCTACACTTTCCTCTTGATTTTCTGAAAGCAGTACGTGTTAAATTATTAATATGAAGATTATGTCCAATATGTTCGTAATATTAGCTTACCTTCATGTACCTGACTTGATATGAAGGTTTTAATAAGCGTATCGGTCATTTGAGTGTAAAGACTCAATGCGTAGCGTAAACTTTGTAATTCTGGGGATTTTTCAAGGAACGTTTTTTTTAAGCCGTTACCACCAGCATGAAAGTACTGTTTTATCGTATCTAATGCTACATCAAGAATAGCACACTGTTTAGGTGAAAGATTCTTTTCCACCTCTTTGGAAATATCCATTACACCACTTAAAGCACTTTTTACATCCTGTTTACCAGCCATATGAGATTTAAATAGGCGACCCATATCCTCGATTTTAGCATTCGAAGCGAGGTTTTTAGCATTGTCTGTCAAATGTTTAAACATCATCTAAAAATCAAAAGTGAGTAAAAACAAGTGTGGTTAAACATGAATTTTGCAAGCTTACGGTTTTATCTGTCATGGGTGGTAATACTATGGTCTTTTCCAAAGTACGCATTACAATTTTCCACAGCTCCTTTAGCAAACGTTTCAGAACAGTCTTTTCACATGATTGCGCGTACAGTGTTAAGGATCCATCTAAGAGGTCCATTAGTGGGCGCAGTACTTCATCAGCTTCGACGGCTACAGCATTTCGTTGAGCAACCTGATTAGAAGTATTCACGTTTTGGCATGGTCCGGTTCCACCCTTGATGGCCAATAACAAATCACCTAATTCCCTTACGGATTGGGTAATCCGTGGTTCCAAACTGTACGGAATGTCTTTTAGTGCCATTTTAAATAAAAAATATAGCCATTTATAGCTATTACCTCACAGCAAATTTCGAAGCCAGATCATCTAAGGCAAAATTTAGATTTTGTTGCAATTCTTTAAGTATGTTAGCAGCGTCTTCTTCCAGTTTGTCTCCACCCATTGATTCGAACATCTTCTCCAGCTGAACACGCAGTTGTTGAATATTGTTCATTAAAATGCAAGCCTAGCGAAAACAAAACATAAATTTGAGGCTCCATCCTTTAAAAGTTCTTAAGCATCTTACAACTCTTTCATCCTTCATATGCTCTGGAAATTCCCTCTTGACTATATCGGCATAGGCTATTAACACCTTAACGATGGTCTTAGCAAATCGTCTCATGTAGCGTTTCATTATTTCAGGGTCGGGACATTCGAGTTTGCTAACAACATCGAAGCATTGTGTCAACTGTGTGAACACGTCAACCACCGAGTTAGAGAAAAGGGCATGTTCGCTGCTCTTTTGAAACTACGCACACACATATATGTACATAAAAAAATTAGGAAATTACATAGTTTGTACCAGATTGTGAAAAATCGTCCTACCCCGTCCTTTTTATCACGATTAAACGCTCCATGAAGATATTCGAGGGAGACATCATCGTTTTCATTCAACCATTGCATTACGAAAGGTTCAAACCAAGCTGGATATTCAGGAACAGCCCCTTTATACGGAGGAACCTCTTTTACATAATTGCTATACAACCATTTCACTCGAAAATGCAAGTTCATATACGCGGATGATTTGCAGAGACGGTGTTGTTCATGCTCCTCCAAAGCATATTTCATATCAACAGCAAATAAACTCCACATGGTTGCAGCCGATAGCTGAACAAAGCAAATTCCAAAGCAAATTATACAAAAAAAGTTATTTTTTGGTTGTTTTTGTACTGAAACAAAAAATTACGATTACGAAAAAGTATTGCTTATTTGACGCTATTTTTACAGTTTCGGTGATCAGTCAAGGGAATTAGTGAATTGCAAGGGTAATAGCAAAAAATTTCAGTACAAGTTAAAAACTACTTTATTATTCAAAGACCACATTGGTTTTGCTCTCCAAGAAATTTTTTCTTTAGTTTGAAATACGAGATATTTGAAGTTTACTTTTTTTAATTGTATAAAGTGTGATCAGTAAAGGTAGTGTAAACTGCTATTACTCTGAAATTGCTGTTCCAACTTTCTTCTTTTCTTCTGTCATTGTCTTATGTTCTACAGTGCTGTTGTCCACCCCCCTGTTGTTTTGTCATTAAGGTAACATTTATTTTAAATTGTCTACGCATAACTGATTTCTAAAAATGAGAAAAAAATACTATACTTGTCCTATGTTTAGTTCCTGTGGAAACTGATTGAGCACCGATCCATAGCTATTTTTATCTTCATCAATCACGGATACAATAAGCGCTATAAGTTTATGCCAAAAATCGACGCTATCTAATTTAGGCCCATGGTCATCAGAATCACGTTTAGCTTCGTTTGGATCCACCTGAGGGAATGTAAGAATTTGCAAAAATTTGTAAGTAACGGATATTCGTAAGATTTACCTGAAATTCCCGGTTATAGAGTTCGTAACAATTCTCGAATAGGAATTGATAGGTGGATCTAAGACAAGCTTTGACGCAATCTTTGACGACCGTACTTGCGCGAGGAGGACTAGAAAGCTCCTGAACCTGAAATTACATTCGTCAATCATAATTTGTGGATTCAAAAATTTAAAAAACAAGATATATTTGATTTAGCCCAATCTTTGATATTCACCGCAAATGAAGCATACTCAAACAATACTTTTATATAACTTGTATATCGATTATAGCCAGTATTCCATGGGTTTGCTCGCATTATAAAATTTGTGAAAAATCTTGGTAAGCCTTCACATGTTCTGCCAGCAGTCTGGGTACTGATAGCGTATCTTTTGATTAAGTAGCTTTCGCTTCGACGACGCAACCGTTTCGTTTTACATTATCTATGTCTCTTTTTAGTCAGTATTTATTTCGAAATTATAAAGCCAAAATAAGGTTATAATCAACAACAAAATCATATAAACGTAAAAGCATAATTAGGTAAAATGTGTAATAAAATGAAATGAAATAATAAAGATTTCCAATAAAGCAAAACAAAAAAACAAATGCAAGACTGCAAAAACTAAGAAATATGGCTTCAAGACAAGTAGTTCGCGGACTGTTTGCGCGCGCAGTTAAGCACAATCACAATTGATTTAATATCAACTATATAAGTGGTTTTTTGCTAATTTGCATAAATTCATTTCAGTAACAATCAGTCGCGCTCATTGGGCATCCATCAATATTATTAATTATTTTTATTTTACATATGTATGCTTTATTGTATGAATCTACCTCTAAAGAATCTATATTATTTTAAAGTGAACTGAAAATCACTTTAGTTTGTGTTACATTCCAAAAAAATGCTTTGATGAAAATGGTCTTATAAAGAGAGCTTTATATTTTTGATTACATTGTTTCATTTTAAAATTCAATGGTTTAAAATTGTTTGAATCAGCGTTTTGTAAGTTTTGTTCGATATTTAGTTTATTTTTTATTTACAGGTGTTTTCTCTTATAAACTCTACGCTGAAAAACCAACATTAACGCAAAACGTGAGCTAATTAGCTTACACCTAATTTGACAGATATGTGCGTATGTAAAATAAAAATACCGAAACTCGAAAAGGAAATTTAGCTGTCGTCATACATAATTAGTACTCAACTCTCTCAGGGATCTCAGATAATAGTTGCAGCCATGTGCCGTTTGATTTTTATTTAACTTTTCTGTCAAACTTTCAACTGTTGGATTACGAGTTTGCATAGACTAGCTAATATTGAGTTACAACTAATTGAGCTTTATTTTAATTATTTGGAAATACCGCTTTATGGATGCTTTTACCCAAACAGCTAGTTATAAATAATTGAGTTTTATTTTAATTAGTTGGAAGTACCGCTTCATGGATGCTTTTTCTCAAACAGCGTAGTAAATAAGTTTTGATGTTTTTTAGCTTCTACCTAGTAACAAATAACATCTTAGTTAAATAATATTTTGTTGGAAATGTAAAACGTAAACCAACTTTAGCCGGCATATCAATTACTACTAATTTAGAATAAATTATTAGATTTCATCTTCAACGTTCAAAAGCTTTGTAACTTTATTTAACACCACCCTGTTAATACTTTTATCTCTTTTTCACCATTCATAGATACACATTTATATTTAGAGCTCACTTCCTTGAAGGCCTACTACTATTCTCTTTCGTAGAACTTTTTATTAAACAAGCGGACATATAATGGACTAGTTGTTCTTCACACGTCTGGCCCGCTTTTGAATTAGTAAACTTTTATTATGCAAACGTGTTCATGCGGTAATGAGCGTCTGCAATCTACGACTATTTCAAACTAAAATTTAAAATGTTAACTATACTAGTTAGTGAATTTGTTTTGCTCAAACTTTATTTGCAAAAGCGCCACTTAAACAAATGTTAGTAAGAGCTCGAGAAAATTAAGAAAAGTTTTCTTCTTGGTGGTGGTTATAAAAAATAGAGAATATATAAATAAAAGAAAAAAGTCGTTTGATAATACCTTCATACGGAAGAAAGTAATGCTGGTTAAGAGATCGACCGTTGATTTGAGATCCATAAGTTTTTCTTGACTGGAAGCAGGAAAGTTGTTACGGTACATTGATAAATCTATTCGTAGTGAATTGTGCAATTGGTCCAAAAGTTTAACGAATTTTTCTTTCTAGGGGTGAGATAAGAATGCATAGCACGAAAGAAGCAACAAAAGCAAAAAATGTTTCAGTTACCCCGAAATTACTAGCGGCAAAACGATCGCTAGCAGATACGGATGACGAGGCTGTGGTGTGTGCGTAATAAGCGTTAATATTTGCCAACAACGTGCTCATTACTGCTGGCACTCCAGGACACAGATATTTGGCAGAAAGGCAATGAAAGTGTGTCATAGCCTGATAGATGTTTTCAATTCCATAGCGCATCGCAAATTCATCTACTATTTCTTCCGGTATTTCATCGAAATACAATTTCCAAGCGTCATCACCTTTTTGCTGTGGTAATTTGACCTATATTGGCAAAGTTATTTGTTTATTTTTTATGTGGCTCTTTTCACTTTTAACAATTTTAACATCATGACTTTTAAAATATATACTTACCATACCACAATTATCTTCACAAAGATAATGAAATAGATTTTCGTGCAGACAGGTGTATTGCACGTGATAGGGCGCTACCTTTTCTTCGCCTTTTATCTCCACAGATATATGCAGACGTATTGCACCAGACACAGCCGACTTGTCCGTACGTTTCTCCAGATTATACCATACGTCCATCTCGCCCGATAAAGTGCGCACTTCAATAATAGCTTGTCCCAGAAAATCATCAGACTCTCGTGTCAATTTCTGACGCAATTTCGATTTCAGATCGTTGTCCTCATCCCAGACTCGCACCTTAATGCGATCAGATGAGTTGTGGCACTCACTGCATCGTCATGGTTATTCAAACACACAATTAAGAACGTATGCAACACACAAATGCAATTTTACAACAATCAGTTAACAAACATTTAAGACCCAACATATAAACAATAACAGTCTTCTATTTCAACTCATATATTGTTACATCTGTCGTTTACCTTTGTAATAAGTATTTGCATATATGTAATGTATTCCTATATGGTAATTACAAAATTCTATGAATTTGTTGCAACAAGGATTTGTGAAAAAATTCTTGAGTATTATTTCAATAATTGTTTAGAAAATTACTAACCGTAAAAGATAAATTTGGGTGAAAAAACAACTAAGAAATCAAAAAACCAGTAGGAGTAGTAAAACTAAGAATAAAATTGATAAAATTAAAAAATATTAATATTAAACATGAAAGTTAAAATATAGAAAGAGAAAAGTAATAGAAATCAAAAACAAAAGAGTTGAAAAGAGTGTAAGCAAAAAAATTATTTTCATATTTTAACCAGTTAAAAAGACAAAAAAGAATTTCAACTAGCAAGCGTAATTCTTTTAGGGACGTATTTTGAATACCTACTATTTATAAAGTTGCAGCTTTTCCTTTGGTTTAAAAGGCTAATAACAGTATATTTTACTGGACTATATACATCTTGACAAATAATGTTGCCACCGGTTAAACGGCATTGAACTTTCCAAGTTTTCTCTGATATTGTTTCAATTTTTACCAATTATTATGAGCGATCCACGTTTGCTTTTATTTTATTTAGTTTATTTTTTGGGAATGAACAATCAATATCAAATTCGACTTTAATCTCGATTAATACACGTTGTAAAACATTGTAAATTTAGCACGTAATTATCATTCGGTGAAGAATACAATTAGTAAAAAACACAGTCGAAATTTTCCACATTTATTTCACGAAACAATCTACTCTTTATGTACAAAAATGGACAGAATCGTCCAACCCACGCAAAGTTGCAAGCGATTAAATGTTATTATTATTTTTTTTTTTTTATGTTTGTTTATCGCAGCACATACAAGAGAGAATGTTTGAAAGCACTTTGTACATTTCTCAAATGAATATACATGATCTGCTTAAAAATGGATTAATTGTAAAATTAATACGGTAGACACTGCAATTACTTTTTTCTTAATTATAACATCGATATGGGTATCAAATAAAAGAACCTAGAGAGTAGAATGCAAAAAGCATAGTGGTGTGTATGCGAGATTCAGCCCCCGCCGAATATAATTTCCTTACTTCTTTTATGTCAATGTTCACAATTATATATTTACTTAAATTAACATAAATATTTTGCATGGAAACGAAAAAACTAGACTATTAATTTATTACTTTACATTGCCTTTAGAGAATGGTGTAGAGCAAAGCATGGTACAGTGCGTACCTTCGCTGGAGTGGTTTACTTGCTTCGATCAGACATAAATATATTCCAAAATAAACTATTATTGGAAATATATATTGAAATGATGAAGGATTATGAAGCTTGCTTAATACTCTCCAATTATCCCGAACAGACAGCAACATTACTTGACCTTAAAGTATTTTAAGCATCTTGAAGTTTACGAACTAACTTGAGTTGTCACAAAGATTGTTATTTAATTTGCAAATTGTCACTACTTATTGCTTATAAGCAGTATACTTGTCAAAACAGTTAACTGATTAATAAATTGTTCAAATCAGAAATGAAATATTTTCAGTTTTCGGTCTCTTTTTTTCGGAATTGCATCATAAAAGTCACTTAGTTCCGATTTCCGAAGCTGAACTTTAAACTTAAGTAACCGCTATAACAACTAGTTCATAGTTGTAACGTCCAATATTACCGTACATTTATATATACATATACGTATATATATTGGATTAAACAATCTTGTAAGAAATGCCAATGAGATATCACAAGTTTAGAGATCCTGACGCAAAGGTGATCATAAATAATATGTATGACTCTAGTGAAAACTAATTCGAAAATAGCTCCAAGCATTATGCAAAATGATGTGACGTAACTTACATAAGATACTATTAAGCAAAATAAATTGTGAGATTATATTCGCCTCAGCACGAATCTTTGATACTGCCTCATCCTAATAATGTGAGCAAGCCACTTCGCAGGCTGACATTATTTTTAGATTGGGTTTTTAATTGAATATGATTTGCATTTTTTCTCCCTTATCGCCGTGTTTATACACACAAGAACATTTCTTCTTTAAGGATTTAAATATAAAGTGTTATAAATCGTGGGTTATAGATTTTAGTCTATTGAGGTACTAGTGAGCGGACTAAGTTCATTCCCATATTTGATCTGTGGTCATTAGCAGCAGCCCATGTCAACTTCATTTTTGTATGTCAATTAATAATGTTGCAATCAGTCACGTTAGACGAAAAGGATTACATAATTTGAAAACCTTTATATATTGAGAAATATTTTACATTGGGATTAAGCAATACGTGCAGTAAATTCCAGAAACATAGCATATATAATAATTGGAAAGTTTTTACATTTCCTTCGTTTTTTCTTTCAATTTTTATATTGGCAAAACATTTGTAACACCCAGAAGGAAGCGTCAGTGACTTCATAAAGAATATATGTTTTTGATCAACATCAAATTCTGAATTGATTTAAGTATGTCCGTTTGTCTACTGTCTAATGTCTGATGTAAACCTACTCCTGGCTAAAGAATGAAACTATCGGTTGGTTTCCAGTTTGGCAAAAGCAATGAAAGTTCTTAAGCGCAGTCTGCTATTGAAAATAGATCAAATCGGCCAAGGGCACGCCTGCAGTATTACGTGAACAGCGAGCACTTCTGCTTTCCAAAAAAATCGGTTTTTGCTTAATATTCACAATCTAAAGCAGATAAACCCATAGTAATTAAAAATATTTTTTATCAGCGATTCTATCCCTGTACCTGTGTAAAATTAGAAATAATCGGCGATGCCTACCCAATATTATAGCATATGGAAATTGAATTTTTTTGTGGAAACCTTCATAACGGTCCGAACAGAGCTTCAAAATACTATAAGGGATGTACATTCTTCACCAGCGTCATATTCGAAATGGGCCTAAGCATTTGCGCCTGTCCGTTTGCCAAACTTTATAATATCATCAAACAAACATTTTCCTATTCATAAACATGAAAATATCGCTTAAAAATTTGCAAAAGAATTTAAAAATAGCCCAAATTGGATACGTCTGCAATGACATATAAAGTCAGTATACATTTATTTTCCATGTTTTTTGCTAATTGCACATAAGCTACATTAGAAATATGACATAGTTTTTTAGATTATGAAAATAGAAAAAAGTTAGCTGCACCCACCCAATATTAGTCATTTTTAGGATAATGGTAATGCGTATAATAGGTTCGGTCACAGCCGAATATAATGTTATGACTTGTTTCCTCTTTCTGAATAAAATGTACTGAACGTGTATTCGATGCTCTTGTCACACTAGTTAACGCAAACCAAACAAGCTGCATAATCTTTATGCAAAAGCAAGTTTAATAACATATAAAAGCTTATAACATAAGAAATCTTTATATCTACCCACAACACTGCCTATATAGTAGAAAGCTTTTTTTATAATTGCGTCTAATTTTGAATAGATATAAACAGTTCTAGATTTATTCTTATGGGAGACTGTATTTTTTGTTTTTATTCGAAATAAAATTATAATTTTTACTTCTATATTTTTCGTTAAAAATTCAAAAAACCGAAAATGTATTCGTTTTCTATTCAAAACAAAGTATTGTAGAAAATCAAAGATGAAAAAAGAACACAATAAGCTCATCCTATTTTACATTACAACAGGTTAATTCATACGTATAATATATAATAAAGTTAGCAGAATATAATCTGTGGTATGCACTTTGCGAGGCTTTTTCGGAGCATTTTCATAGGTTAAAATTGCCCGGTATGCATGCTAATCTTATGAAAATGAAAAAAAAAACACAAACCTACGTAAGCTGATACGTCAGCCAATTGATTGCACCTAAATATCCTCGAAAAGTTAAACCTTAATTGCTTTTGTGTGTTATTAAAATTGTCACAAAATTTAGTTACAAAGCTGAAACTTAGCAGATATATTTTAAGATTGCCTTTCTCTCTCTCTCTCTCTCTCTCTTTTTTTTTTTTTTTTTTTTTCTTTCTTTCTTTCTTTCTTTTTTTCTTTATTGGTGGAATTGAAAGTATCATTTCACAATCTTTACAAATATAAAGCAAAGTCGAAAAATATCCGAACATTTTGAAACATTTTTATGTTAATGTATAAACACTCGCGAATGTAAAACAAAAATTTCCCAAATGGAGGGTTGGTACACAAGTTATATTTTGGTTATTGGTTACACATAAGTTAAATAACATTATAATTTTTGTAATTTCTTGATATGCCCGTTGTTTGTCTTTGTTCGTAAAAAAGGCTTCGGATAATCAGGTAAAGCCTTTAAGATATTTTTGTAGCTATTGATGTTATTATTTTTATGCCCACTTTACTATTAGTACTAGTCAACGAGGAAGTTTGGAAAATACGAATCGTTTATCCGAAAACAATCTGTGAAGAAAATGTGTAGCCGTCTTAAATATTGAATAAGTGCATAACGAGATTAAGTATTTTTCCTAACATTTCAAATTAAAATAATACTAATGATTTCTCTAATTACTGCGATTTGTAACCTTTTATTCTTCCTGACGGCCAAAATGTAGTTAATATAAATATATAGATATGACCAACATCAAAATGTAACAAAATACGCAAAATTAGACATAAAAGTTTTTTCGAAATACTTTAAAGCTTCTCAGATGAAAGAGATTATGATTTCCTATTATTATTATTTTAATTTTAGACTAATGAAATGAATTCTTAGACTAAAAAAAAGACATTGAGGATACGATTTCCTAATATGATTAAGTTGGGTCATGATTCATTGGAGAATGTATAAATGTTAAATTTCACTTCTCAGCTTTTTAAAACACCTTGTGTTTTTTTACAAAAAGTAGGCAGGTA